CAAAGACTTTCCTTGTTACACAATTCTTATTCCCTTACGTAAAGATTGAATATTAACCTAATGGGCTTTAAACTTTTGTAGGGCTCTTTTATTCAATATAGAATATATAGCACACACTTGGGATACGTAGCACTTCTCAACCGAATGGATTGGCTGTGCCTGATGCTAGTTTGCATCCGGTGAACTCAACCAGTGATGTATTAGAGCTGATGAATGTTGGCTTAATGAATCGAGTTGTAGCCGCTAGTGTATTACACTTTTGGTCCCCATACTTAACCTGAAGGGCTGGTTAATGGTTTTGTACTTTTGAATTGTGAATCGTCAGCCGATTCTGACCCGTGAACCGTAGGCTTATGGTTCACACTCGTGCACTGTAGGCTTTACAGTTCACGACAATGATTATGTCTATCCCATACTACGATAAATTGACAACCACATCCCATCCATCCAATTTTTCATTAATGTTTAATTTTTCATTCATTTTTTCATTAATATCCATTTGCCCATAGTTATAAAAAATAAATACGAAAATTTAAGAAAAAAATTGAAAATGCAAAAATTATAATAATCATTGAAGAAGAGTAAATGAGACAACTCGAAATAAAAGTTATCACAAGAACGAAAAAGTTGTAATTAAAAACAAAAAAAATCACTACGCATATGCATTATTCAATCTGTTGTTTCTTGACTCCTTGTTGTCTGTTGCAGAGGATGTGTTTCGGGACACACAACCGTTAATTAGGTATGTCCTTGACGGTTACAATGTTTGTATATTTTTCTTTTGGTCAAACCGGTTCAGGAAAAACTTACACAGTGGTAAGATCATGTTTTCAAATTAGTTAAAAAAGTTTTGTTCGTCATTTATCTTCATTTTGCTCATGTTATTAAAATATTTTTATCCAGAATGGACCAAATTCATCATCAGTTGTAGATTGTGGGGTCAACTATAGAGCTCTAAACGATCTCTTCAGTATCTCTCAGAAAAGAAACAACTCATATGCATATGAAGTTAGCGTACAAATGGTGGTTGATTTTTTTAAGTGTGTGTTTTTTGTGTAGTGCGGGGTTTTTTTTCGGGTGTTTATTTTGTAATGTAATTATTGTGTAG